TTTTGTGACTAAAGCTACGGATCTTGAGATTAGAGTTTTAAAAAATCCCTTGAAAATGGATGTAGAAACATGTGTCAAAATTATATATTTGTTTAAAACAAAAATTTTTTGTTACATCTTTTCGACCCTTTTTTGGCATTTTTTTAACCCTCCCTAGCAACCAAAAATATTAAAGTTACCAGTCTAATTTTTTTCAATACGCCGACCTTGATAAATTGGGCTATGCACATGCATTTCCACCCTATACCTATTCTTTAAGGCTTTGTTCACACTCTTGTATGCTGAGTCCATTAGCGCCTGATCCAATCAGAGTTCAGTCATGTGTTTGTTGTCTATTCTGAACCAATAGAAATTGCATAACGGTAGCATCTATCTTTCTATCTATCTCATTATCCAATAAGAGATAAATCCTTAAATCGGCGCTATACACTAAATGGAAATATTTACTTTTACTGAAACTATAGTGTGAAATAGCGCTTACAATTCGCCCTATCTCTTTGATACTACATATCGACATATGTGTTTAAATGAGAAAGTATACCAAAACAATTCCGTAAATTTAAAGATTCTTGAATTTGTGTATTTGTCAGGGTTGCAATGTAAATATCAGGGATTCATTATTATTATAGTAATAATTTAAGTTGTATTACATTGTGATGAACGGAAGTATGAAGCATAATTGTTTTTATGATTCGTGGATACTTACAGTACACCTAGGGCGGAGCAAAGTTTCCCGCATTAACCCAAAAAATTGAAAATTAACATAAAATTTTGGCAACGAACCGAAAATACCGTTTATCTTTAGTTTTGTAATGAAAAGAACGAACCATCCATTTTAATTATAAGCACCAAAATACTGTTCTTTAATTTATTAACTAAATTTGAATAAAAAGATTTTTTGGGGCATGTTAGTGATGGTGATAATCTCCTGTATGCCGAGTCCATTAGCTCCTTATCCAATCAGAGTTCAGTCATGTGTTTTTTTTGTCTATTCTGAACTATTTGGCTGTTACATCTATCGTTCCATCTATCTCATTATCCAATTAGAGATAAATCTTTAAATCGGCGCTATCAGAAAATAAAAATATTTACTTCTGCTGAAACTATTGTTTGAGAGACACAGTTTTTCTAACGAAAGATTTTTTTGTTAATTACCGGAAAAATTCATAAAATAAACTAATAAACAATATTTAGATTTAAATATTCAAAACACTTTTATATTTAAATTTTTTTTTAATTAAAAAACATTTCAATGATCAATGAATAAAATGCTAAGGTTAGAATAATGATTGCTCTTGTAAAACATTTTAAAAAAGGATTTCAGAAAGATCAGTTTTATTCTTGATGATTTTGAAATTGCACTATCCCAAAAAAGTGACTTTATGAGGTAAATCCCAAGCGCAGGCTGTGCGATATTTTAATGTCGAGGCTGTCTTAAAATTTAATGAATAACTTTTAAATCTTTCTAGATATCAGTTCCCAACAATATATACGTAATTTGATAAAATCGATAGTTTCTAACAAAATATTAGTATTATCCGACAGTGTAACATATGCAATGTACAATATTTACTTCCTTTTTTAATTCCGATCCACCTTCTGTATCAATTATTGAGACACCATTACAAGCTGATGGTAATTATTATCTTAGTTCTCTTGAAAGAAGTCTCGAATGCCTGGTATTAAATGGTAAAAATGGCTCCAGAGCCAACTTTGTCTCTAGAGTGCAGAAAATGATTTCTGTGGAAACCTGTTTCCCGCCATTTCCGGTTTCTGAGCAGAAACAATTTCGCGGATTTTAAAATTCTGCTAAATTCTCGAGAATTTAGCCCGGGCAATTAATGCAATTGTATTATTGTTAATTCAGAACTTTCTGCTTTTAGTCTTAATTCATAATTATCATGAAAAACGTCATAGCTAATATTTGACCAAAAACTATTTTTTCAATTAAAGAAAATATAATGATATATGTGGTGTTTCATAATTTTCTTTCCAAGTTGTTTTCAGCACATATTCTTCTGTACACAGTACTTTTACAGTGTACATAATCTAACAAAGATAAGTGTACCGATTTAGCCATAACTACATGTACAGATTTAGCAGTAACTTGCAAGCATAATTTTAATTAATAAATGTAGACTTTTCCTGTTTCGTTCTTAACTTTTAAAAATAAATAGTAAAAAGTAAAAATTTTAAGAAACTTCTTCTGTAACTTATTTTTAGGGGGGGGGGGGTGGGGGAGTCAATACGTTATATTATTATGCGTATTAACTTTTTCATAATTAACAACATTGTGAGGAAATAACTTTTCACAGTGCATTAATTAACACAGCGTATTATGAGGCCAAATTAATTATCTGTATCTATATGTATTGTATTTGTAAACATTAATAATACTATTTCCATACGTTTTAGTTTTCTTTTTTTGGGGATGGAAGGATAAAAATATATGGAGATATAGATGGTCATATATAGATAAAAAAGAGATAGATGGATAAAAATATGAATAGGTATATGGAAAAATTAAAAAACAGATAGATAGATAGATAGATAGATAGAACGATAGAAAGATAGAAATAGAGAGAAGAAATAAGCAGATATATATTTTATACATAGATAAATAGATAGATATTTCAGTTTTTAACTTCACATTTTTTTATTAAAAAAGTATTATACTAAACATAATGTTGCACGTCTATCATGACGATCCTCAGTAGTTACAATTCTTTGAACAACAATAGATAGATATATAGATAGATAGATAGATAGATAGTCTGATTATATTGAACTAGAATATTCTGAAGTAGGGTCCAGCTATGCTTCTATTCATACAGTTGACACACTAATATATATTTGATATATCACACATTTATCATAATATATTATTATTAACATTATTTATTATCTTTAATATATCAGGCGATGTAAAGTGAATATTTTACATATTAGATATATTTACATATATTCGTATATCCGGACCTTTATGTTACCCTTTTCAGTATTATTCACAAATTAGAAGACATTTTAATCAATCCTGTATCACGCAGAACTAAAGCAAATTTTAATCAATCCTGTATGCACGCAGAACTAAAGCAAATTTTAATCAATCCTGTATCAGAACTAAAGTAAATTTTAATCAATCCTGTATCACGCTGAACTAAAGCAAATTTTAATCAATCCTGTATGCATGCAGAACTAAAGCAAATTTTAATCAATCCTGTATCACGCAGAACTAAAGCAAATTTTAATCAATCCTGTATCACGCTGAACTAAAGTAAATTTTAATCAATCCTGTATCACGCAGAACTAAAGTAAATTTTAATCAATCCTGTATCACGCTGAACTAAAGCAAATTTAATCAATCCTGTATCACGCTGAACTAAAGTAAATTTTAATCAATCTTGTATCACACTGAACTAAAGCAAACTTTAATCAATCAAAGAGCAATTGAGAGAAATTTAAATGATTTGAATTTCCTATTTGTACCCGGGTATTTTTTTTGTTCTTACACATGAGCGTAAACCCAGAAATTGGAGGACATTTTCATTTTTTATAGGTAGCGTTTTATAATTAATATAATATAGGAATCAATTTCAATAAATTTCAGATTATTTAAAAAAAAACTAAATTTTTCAATCATAACTAATTTCTTAAATAAAATTCAAAAAATTATGTATAAAATTTTTCTATTTCAGTTTTTAACCTTCACATTTTATTCACAAAGAATTAAACAAAACGTGTCACGACGATGAACTCCGTGGAGTTGTTTTATTCTCATCCTGTGATTTTGAAACCAAGATGTGATAGATAGATAATCCCTCCATAAAATAAAAATTTAGTTTTTAAAAGGTAGCGTTGGAGATTTAAATTTAATTGTTGTTTTTTATAAACATAATATGCTAGTCAAATACGATCAAATTGGTTCTTAAAAGTTCTTCACTTTTTAATTTCATCACTTTAAAGAATAAAAAGTCAAGTTAAAAAGTTTAAAATAAAAAAAAATAAAAAATCATCTTTTGTTGTTCAATTCAATGTTCGTATAAATTCAAGCACTGTCCCTTTAGCAATAATCTCTACTTATGTATGCGTATTGGTAAAGCCTCTTATTATATTTTAAAATGAGTACATAGATTAATAACAATACAGATAGAACACTAGATGTCATCTTTTCAATAATCAGGGTTTCTTCGTTCACAACAACCCTGAGGCTGAAGCCTAAAGGAGTTACGCGCATGCTCTATCTGCCTTTTAAATCAACGCGGTATGCGCGTAACTCCGTTCGGATTATACCTCAGGGGGGTTATTGTGAACGAAAACCCCCTATATCGTGAAGGGAAGACATCTAGTGTTTTATCTGTATTCTTATTAATCTATGGCGAAGTATTTTGATAAGAATTTATTGATTATTTGAAATCCTAATTTACCAAATTGAAATATTTCTCAATGTTCTTTAGAAAAAAATATGATTTCATTTTCAATCGTAAAATGATGTCAAAAATAAGTATATAGGGCAGAACTTTTTACTGATAATGTGGTTTGCTTTATTAATAGTTTATTAATAGTTTATTGCATTAATATTAAATTTTTATTGAAATCATTTACAAGTACTTATTATGCTCAGAAAAATTTTAAAATACATTTAGTTCAACCTTGTTTTACTGAACAATTGGACTTTTTATCCTGATGAAAAACTATTTGAATCAATTAAAAACTTGTTAAAATATCCTAGATTCACAACGGTACCCTCTAAGCCTTAATTGAATCATCTAGAAATGAAATATTAATAATCCTTAAATATACAACAGCTTGCAGCCAAAGTTTTCAAAAATGACAAGTCAGTTTGAGGTTTAAAGGGTATTGTTGTGAATAGGGGATTCTCTTTTTAAATGGAGATTCACTTGAAATTACGCTTACATTCCGTTTGAGTTCTTTAAAGATGAAAAAAAAGATTTTAAAAATGTAAAATCTATTTTTTTTTTAACAAAATAAGAAAGAAATGATTAACAATATCAATATTTATTGAATATGGGGACCATGTAACAGATAATAACAGATCATCATTAAAATCATTCATTCTAAAGGATAAATTTGAAATAAAAATATAGCTCTCCATAATGAGGTCTATATCAGAAAACGATGCATTTTTCACAGTAGATTCTAAGCTAAAAATTCAAACAGTCACTTTCAAAATCCTATGTTTTTCCGTGCAGAACTTAAAATTCTTAAAATGTACACTAGTTGAAGAAAATATCTAAAAATCAATTTGAAATAAACCGATTTTTTCTAATTTGACACTTTAGATGAGAAAGATAACATTTGAGGTTTACATGGTGGTAGAATTGTTAACAAATTTATTAATTTTAATACTGAGATACATTTATTTAGACATTTGAAATTTTTAATTATTTTCAACTGGGAAAAAATTACTTTTTTTGGGTAGATTTGTTAAACATATATATTGACCACCAGGTGGACATGCAATATCACATAAATAGAGGGTCACATGGCTATACAACAATGGCTCACATTAAGGCGAGAAAATCCGCAAATTTCAAGTTTCGCGGATTTTCCAACACCTTGTTCAATAGTGCAGTATGCTTGGCACACAGAATATTGGCTTTGGTTGGATGAATTATAACTAACGGATACAGTTAATGATAAGCAGCGGGGATCCTCGTCTTTGCATGAAAAGATGCAATCTTAAAATATGACATGAGATTCAATTGCTTAACGTTCGCCACATTTAGAGATAATAAATGGAAGGTAAGTCTTGTGAAAAGGTCAAAAATTACTTCAGCTTGATTCAGTTGCTTGCTTAGGGCATTCTCCATAGACTGGGATATTTCTTACACACACACCGTTAATAGGTTGCTCATGATCCTTTCCCTTACTTCCGGTTTCATTATCAGCCGGCCAATCTGGATTGACCCACTGAGGGGCTGCCGGTTTCCGGCGAGAGCGTGGGGTGCTTTCTGGCGATCGGGTATCTTCATCAGCATTGTTTTTATCACTGTTACTGTCTGAATTCTCGTCCTCATTGAAGTCCATGTCCATTGTGAACCTAAGATCTAGGCCGGTGTCTAATCCCTCCACTCCTCGGGGTGGAAGGTTGAAGAGAGAAGGGGGAAGGAAAGGAAAACCCCCTCCTCCTACTCCTCCCTGCATCTCCAAGCGGCGATGGGCCAGAAGAATTCTAAATTTTGTTGGATCAAAGCTCTGAGTGTCATCTCCAGACGGAAAGAGGGCTTCTGTTGGAACTCCGTGGAGTTGTTTTATTCTCATCCTGTGATTTTGAAACCAAGATGTGATGCTTTTTACATCCAAGTTTAACTCACTAGAAAGAAATTCAAGGGTTGAGCTGTTGGGGAAAGGGTCTAGAGCAAAGGCTATGTTAAGCGCATCTTTGTGCTCATCAGAGACATGCAGCCGGGACTTTTTAGCTGAACCATGATCTGAGCCGGCGTTGGAACAATCGTCCAGAGCGTCGAGAGGAGAGGAGCGGTCTGAGCAGGAATCTAGTCCCCCATAGCGTCGCTTCCCAGCTTCTCTATTCGACTTGATGGCCAACCGTTCCATGTTGGTTGGATCGTTTAACCACATTTGCATCCGGATAAAAGGTTCCCGGCCCTTAATACTCAGCATATGCCAGGGTTTAGGTTTTGAGAGAAGCTCGCTGACAGATCCTTGAGATAGACCCAGAACTGATTCTCCAAACATCTAAAATTAAATTTGTTTCATGATTCTGACCAGAATTTGTTTTTAAATTTCTATTTTTATCAAGTACTGAGTACTGACTCAAGTCATAGTTTTGATTTTAATGTGATTTTTTTAGTATTTTTTTGGTTATTAAAGAAAAAACTTATGCTATGGTCAGAGCTTATAACTTATTATCCACCAAAAGAAATAAGCATTCTTCTCAACATTTTAATTAGTCAAATCTTTAATTAATTTAATCTGTATAAATACCACATATTTGTAATGTGAATTGAGATAAAAATGTTTCGACATCACACTGCAGTTGAAAGTACCCGTAAAAAGTTTGTCTCTAATTCAACGGTTTACATTTTTCATCTCAACTGCTATAAAACAATTTACAAATCTGTTTTAATACCTTTTGTCCGACATTGTTCGCCAACAGAACCTCCTTGACTTTGCTTGTAATTGCTTGAGTATCAAGTTCTGAGGTTAGAGCTGCCATCTCGTAGAGATTTGGTGTAGGAGGGATAGGACCCAGAGGAGGCCGCGGACCCATCTTACGATGAACTGCGAGCGGGTCAAAACCTCCGATATTAGGATCTGCCCCGAACCTCAGAGTAGAAGGTAGAAGAGGGTTTTCAAAGTGCATCGGACGAAGGAGTCCCTCAGGAATTTTCCCCATGGGTCTTGATGCGGGAATACCTGCAAAAATATTGTCAGTGAAATCTTCTTTTGCAAAAAGCTACAACATTTATTTTCCTGTAGCTTTGAAAAAGATTTTTAATGTAACAATTGCAGAAATAATGCGTGCTATGCCATCGTTTCTCAGTTAAAGCTTCAAAACCAAAAATACATGTGATACTAAGTGAGCATGCTCTTGAAGGAAAATGAAGCAAGGGGAATTTTATATTAAATAAGCCAACCTTTCATAAACACAGCTAAATTCAATTACAATTCCTTAAAATTAGTTTAAACAAATGCAAAAGTTAAAATATTTTATACGAGGAAAAATTACATCTCTACATCGTTCGTTCCAGGTACAATCTTTTCAAAAAAGAAAAAAGTTCAACTAGTTTTGTTCCATTACTAATTTCGTTTCGTTCCAACTAATTTCGTTTCGTTTTATTATAAAAAACAAATGTCTATGAATTTTACCGTTTTATTAACGTTTAGGTTATGAATGACAGTTGACTTTTGGTGATATTAATTATTGTTAAAACCCATTAGTGACGAGAAGGTCGATTTTGACCGGGTGAGTTTTGAAGATAATTAAATAATTATGAATTACCAAAGTTTTTTAGATTTTCATGTTTTACAGCTCACCCTGTACAAAAAAAAATCAAAAATTTTATTGAATATCATTTTTTCATGAGTACAATCAAGTTTGTTTAGACGAGATGTATCAGAGACTCAGCGTTAACGATGTTATATATTTATATTTATCGCTAAAATTAATAAATTTAAATGTTTTATGAAATTAAGAAAAAATGTTTATAACATTTTTCAGCGCGTTTTTCTCGTTAACATGTTCTAATCGTTAAAATGCAAAGAGCTCCCCCCTCCCCCCTCCCTCTCCCACCCCTTCATCAGAAAATGTAGATTTTGTCAATGCTCCTATTTAAAGTTTTCACCGAATTTATTGAATATATGGGACCCAACCAACTTTTGATTAATCCAACCTTTAATCCGTATTTCTAGGATCATTTAGATTTAAACCGTCTCTATATATCAATCCTTCTTATCATCTCTTTTTCTACTAACATCAATAAAACTCTCTCCTTCTATATCTATTTTTAACCATATATATTATGTATCTAATGAGCAATTAAGATTAAAATCAAATTTTCATCTTTTAAGGTTTTAAACATTTTGTAAATATTTTCAAAACTTGGAAAATTTGCAAACAAAAAAGGAAAAATCTACGATTTTGTTCTTAAAATTGACAAATATTTTATGCTATTAGGTTAAGCAATATTCATTAAATTCAGAAATAACAAGAGTAAGGGGTGCAAAGCTCCATAAAATTCAAAAAATTATGTATAAAATTTTTCTATTTCAGTTTTTAACCTTCACATTTTATTCACAAAGAATTAAACAAAACGTGTCACGACGATCCTCAGTAGTCAAAATTTTTTAAACAACTTATTTTTATATAAATATCTAGATGGTAATATCAATCTCTCTGACAAAATCTGAAGAAAATGAGAGTATAGAGGCAGGAGTAGGCTCTCTTTTCGACAAAAAAAGATTTATGAAAATTTCGAAAAAAATAATGATAATCGAAGAGAACAAAAATAACAAATTAATATTATCACGAAATTTTTTGAAATTTTTCGTCGAAAATAAAATGTATGAAAGCCTATTAGGTAAAAGATATAGAGGGAAGAAATACAAACACAATCCCACTAAACACTTTTCAAACTTCAAAACTTTTAAACTGCAAAATATAATTTGTTTGAATATTTGTTTAATAGTTATTTAGAACAATAAGAATAAGACGAAATAAAAAGTTGGGGAAAAAAAATGAATTCAAATATCTAAGCCTCCTTAGATTTAAAAAAAAACTCGGTTTCTATTCAAAGATACCCGCCATTCAAAATGTTGCATTTCCAATAAACAGCGGTAACATTTCAACCTTTGTCTGATCAATTCAGTTCTATTAAGAAACAAAACAAAGTATGTGAAATAAAACTTTGCTCGATCATGTACTTTGTTATGAATGTTTTTTCCAAGAGTTAAATTATTTTTATTTAGAGTTACATAAAAAGTTTGTAAAATAAGATATTTAAAGTTTTTGCCAAGTTTCCAAAGTTGAGACTAATCAGAATTGTTTTAGTGCGAAGAGCTGAATTGTTTTGTAAGCTGGTTGTAAAAGACATCGAAAAGTTTTAGACAATGAAAATAAAATAAGATATTTAGAAAACATTGTTTAAAAACCTTATCGAAAACTTTGATATAAATTGAAAAAAGATCCTTTTTAGAGTATTATAAACTGTAATAGTCTCTAATAAAATGTTGACAAAAGCTCAAAAAACGTTGATGTCATGGCAAATTGTTAACCCTATCATGATGGGGGGGAGGGGATAAAAAATAACATGAGGTTATTTAAAATGTTGCAAATTTTTTTGGCATATTTGAAATGGCATGGTCAATGGCTTTTCAAAAACGTATATTTTATCATTTTTGGACATTTTTTTTGCAAATATTTAACTATATAACTGGACTTTGCAAAAAAAAAATTTTTGTTGCAAATTTGCAAATTTTGTTTTCAGATTCTAAAAGTAAAGCAAAAGAGCTTTCCAATTATGTATTATTTGTCATATTTGTATATCAAACATGTGAGTCAGTGGGGGGGAGAGGGGGGTTAAAATTAACTCCCACCCCACGTATCCTGGTTTTCAAGTACCCCAGCAGGGATAGGGTTAAAGTACTCTAAACTCAAAACTTACCCATTGGGCTTGAGAAAGGACTACGCATTAGCCGGTCCGGTGCAATCTTGTACTGGCTCGCCACTAGACGATGTACTGCTCCTTCATCCTCCAGGAAAATACGCATTCGGATAAATGGTTCGCGGCCCTTTTGCGTTAGCATATGCCATGGCTTAGGACGAGCAAGAAGGTCAGAAACGCTTCCCTGAATTTAAAAAATTTAAAACGTTGAAATAAATTTTTTTATTTGAATGTTTTACATTTTATGTCTCACATGTTTTAGGCTATTATTTATCAGGAAAATGTTTAAAAAGAACACTACAGTCTCTTCAAAATATTTTTACCTGGGACAACCCTAAAACCGCCTCTCCGAAGAGCCTCTGACTGATAGAATACTGAGATAGGATTTCCTTTATCCGGCGCACTGTGTCATCCGTGTTGACATGAGAGTACCGATCAAACTGTTGCTGGGTTATCGGAGGAAGAGTGCTGCGGAGGGGTCGCTGGGAGGTAGGGGAGAAGGAGACCGGAGGGGACTGAGACACCAGGGAGTTGGTGATGCTCGCCATGCGTTGCAGTGGGGACACAGAGTGTACCTCCTCCTGAAAAAATTTATAAATTAAATCTGATTTGAGAAATAAAAGAGACTATCGACAAAATTTCAAGACCTATTCTTTGTCTGATAACTTTATCTGAGTTACAAACAATCATAACGGAGATAAATTCTTCCATTTTCCGTCCATCAGCATGAATCACTTTTATAGAAACCCCTTCATAATTTTTGTCGACAGTTCCTTTAAATCCATCCTAACTTATTTAATCCTATGTAGTTCCAGGATTGAAAGCCTTGCATAATGAAAGACATAAATGCATAGGATTGCACTCAGTATAGATTAAGGGGTCGCATTACTACTAATTGAACTTTCTGCCACAAATTGATGGTTTATCCACAACCGTTTAAACTGCATTAAAAAGTAAAATATCAAATGTTGGCATTAAGAAATCTAATTTAATTTAATGAAAACTTCAGTTTGAGATACAAAGCCGGCTCAATTAGGCTACTAGATCAATTTTTACAGTATTATTACAGCACGCACCTCTGCCCTTTTAGTAAAAGTAAATTCAAGGTTGACCCGGCTTGGAAATTTAAATGTACGACGGCTGCCCGTGACAGACTTTTTCTGGTAAACCAAGTCATTTGGTAACTTAAAAGCATATTACAAAGTTTCAAAATGAAAAAAACGCAAAATACCTTTGACGATGGAAAAGTAGAGGGTTTAGGTTTGTTCTCATCCTGTCTTCCGTCCTCATCCTCCTTCTTCACGATATCCTCCGTATCCAGGGAACCCTCAGGGGACTTCAAGCAAAGAGAAGCTGTTACAGAGGCCGCTTGTAGTCTGCCTAGCTCTTCATGGTACAAGGAGAGAGCCTAGAGAATTGTTCTTATGATAACTGCGACAAAGGGACAAGGGGAGGGACAAGGATAAACAGTGACAAGGATCTAGAGGAACAAGGATGAAGAGGGACAAGGATGAAGAGGGACAAGGATGGAGAGGAACAAGAATGGAGAGAAACAAGAATGGAGAGGAACAAGAATGGAGAGGAACAAGAATGGAGAGGAACAAGAATGGAGAGGAACAAGGATGGAGAGGAACAAGAATGGAGTGGAACAAGAATGGAGACGAACAAGAATAGAGGGCCCTATCCCGGTAGGGGGATAAAGGAAGAATTATTCTCGATAAATAGAACAAATAAAATAGTTTTTTTGTGGACTTTTGACAGAAAAAACCCCTTTAAATTATATCGCTGATATCGATATAATTCAAACTTTCTTTTCTAGAAACTGATCAAAATCAGATTTTTTTTATTTTGATTTGTAAATTAGAATTCCCATGCACCTGATGAAAATCTGCCGGATTTCTTGCTAACTCTTCCAATCCGGGGAGTACAGGAGTAGAGCCGTGTAGGAGAGGAGTTGAGCCGGGGATAAGTTGATCTGGAAATCCGGGGATTACACCCGGATTACCAGCCATCCGGGACAATTCCTCTTTGTACATCCGGGACAATGGATCTTTGTTCTAAAACATACAATTTATTAAAAGTGTTTCATTGATAAAATAACAAAAAAATTCGAAATTTTTTTTTACCGTTTCTCTATCTCTGCTTTTATCCCTATCCCTTGAAGATTCCTCATTAGCCCCTAGGCTGCTGGGAGCTGAAAAAAAAATTTTTTAAAGAGTTTTCGGAAATATTACACGTCTGATCCACAACTGTACACTTAAAACACTATCTTAAAAGCAAAGAGAAATATGTGGTCATTTTTCTGTCTTAAAAGCAAAGAGAAATATGTGGTCATTTTTCTGTCTCAAAAGCAAAGAGAAATATGTGGTCATTTTTCTGTCTTAAAAATTGTTAAATTCTGAAATTTTCTCTCATTATCTATACTTAAAATATCCGCAAGTCGCTTCAAATGAAAAACCACAAATAAAAATAATTATTTTTAGATTGACACTGATTTCTCATAGATCCTTAATCCGACAAAGGTTTTTCCGGCATGAAACTTTGTAAATGAAGGGTCACTGTGAAAAACGTCTTCATTCCCTTTAATTTATAGCTTTTAATGTATTTTGTTTTTGTTTTGGTCTGAGAACAGAGATTAGAGTGAAATTAGCTATTTTGATTTAACATCGCTTGGTTAGGTTTTGTTTACCATGGTTTGGTTTGGTGTGTTTAGTTCATTTGGTTTGGTAATTTACAACACCACAGAAAGTTAATTTTTCTAAATTTTTTTTTAAAATTTGGACTTTTAAAAGGCACTACTCAAATACTGTAAACTTGTGAAGGTTTCATGGATGCCTGCCTACATTTGTTGGATAAAACATGATGGTCGACTCTACAATTGATAGTCTAGACTGGACAGTACGACTTAATGCATATACAGTGCATATGCAATTATAACTTAACAACTCTATTTATACAACCTTAACATTTTAAATAACAAAATAACTTTAGTTTTGTTTTTCAAAAGTTTGGTTGCTGAAAGAACTAACTAAATTAATAAAGATTATGAAAAATTGTGAACAATCTGTATATAAATTTGGCTTGTCTGTCTGTTTATATCCAATAAACGTCAAAACGGCCGAACCGATCGGGCCCAAATTTTTTGTAAGCCATCACGTGACCACAGGGAAGGTTTTTGAATGATAAAAATTTTTTAAAATGTGTTTTAAAGGTTTTTAATTTTGTAAAAAAATAAATTCTTGAAAATCCGCGAATTTTTTTCTTTTTATTTTAAAATGTAAACAAAAAGAACATGTTCACAATTTAAATTGAAGATGGGCGCAAAGCGCCCTAAAAGCCTAGTGTTGTAAATATCTTCAATTTAGAATTCGAAACAGAATTTTCCAAAAAAAGAACTTAGAAGAGAGAAAAAGAAAGACAGTACTAGAAACACATTGAGTCTCTATAATAAAACAGAACATTCGCATATATATATGTTGCCTATAGCCAGCCAAACGGCTGGACCGAATGGGCTTAAATTTGTTGTGGACACTCATGGGTGGCCAGGGGTGTAATTGGCTAAAAAAATTGAATTTTTTTCGACATTTTTTTTTCTTGATTTTTTTCCAAGGTCAGCTTATCAAGAATAAAAACCGAGAAGTGTGAAGAAACAACATCAAAACTTAAAGAACAGAATTAGGAGTTTTTCCTAAATATTAGCAGAGAGAGGGGTTATTAGTATGAAAAGGGTGGTTTATGGTAAAAAGTTTAGATGATCGGAGGTTGAGGGNCAATACAAGAAGGCATGTTTTTTGAAACAGTATCGATTCGTAAAATTCGTACCATGTTTGTCACATGCAATGGTAGGACCGTACTGGAGGACCGAGCGCTGTAGCATAGCCTATTGGATTGAACCGAGGGCTACGGATAGGACCGTACTGGAGGACCGAGCGCTGTAGCAAAGCCTATTGGATTGAACCGAGGGCTAGGGCTAGGACCGTACTGGAGGACCGAGCGCTGTAGCATAGCCTATTGGATTGAACCTAGAGCTACGGCTACGACTGTACTGGAGGACCGAGCGCTTTAAGGACAAGTACTAAAGGGACTAGCGCTGTATCTTTATAGGACAAACAAATGACATAACTCTTCTGCTTGGATAAACCAGAGGACCAAGCGCTACGGTTTGGACATACAAGATAACCAAGAATAGAGGACCGACCTCTAAGGCTAGGACAGTTTAAAATACCTGGCTCGTTAATAAGTCCAGTTTAGAAACATGATTATTATCCAACATATCCATAATTAACAGTCGGTAATTGTAAATATCATCAAACAATTCTAAGAGTTTGAAAACAGAAATTTGAATGGCAAAATAGATAGATAGATAAATAGAAACATGGACACATATATAGGTAGACAAGGGGAGTAAATAGCGTAAAGGCTGAGAAAATAAAGTGCAAGTATGACAATAACGGAAACCAAACAAAGCTTGACTTTTTGCTAAAAATTATTTAAAGGAATTAAACGTTGGCGAAATTTCAAGTGGCCCTCCCGATTCAAAACAGCGCCATTCAAACCTTTGGCTGGTTGCAAGTATAAATATGGGTACTTTCCCAAAGGATTTTTCCCAAAGGGCAACTTCCCATGGGTATTATTCCCAGTAGCAACTTCTCAACTCTATCCTAGCCACAGCGCTTGGCCCCCTAGCCCATCATAGTCGCTGCGCTCTGCCCCAATTGCAGCCTGCGGCGCCTCAGATGGCCTTAACCAACCTTTGAGAAGCTGCCGCTTTGGAAATTGCACATTTTGGAAATTGTACATTTGGAAAATTGCCACTTGGGAAATTGTCACTTGGGAAGTCGCCCTTGGGAAAATGCCTTAGGGAAATTATCTAACACCTAAATATATTATCCTTGTTCTTCTTGCTGAAAAGTGATTGTTTTAAAAAGTAAATCGCATATTTTTCCATTTAAAGTAGAGGCATTATTGATTAGATGAAGGTTTATAGGGCACTGCACCGTTATAAATCTATAAATGCGGAGTAAGGCTTTAACTCTACACTCCCTTAAAGCGTTATACATTTCTAAACTTACATTTAATGGTGAGCTGGGATTGTGAAGGAGGTCTTTTTAGTTCACCTTTTCTAGGTATTAAGGTTTTCAGGAGCTGTATAGCATTCTCATCATAGGCCCAGGCATTCATTTTTCTAGATAGATAGATAGATAGATATATAAATATTTAAGAAAAAAACATGAAATAAGCATGGTAATATGATGTAGCATATATCAAAGCTGATCTTTCGTTTTTACGAGAAAGAAAAGACAACATAAACTTTTGTGTGTGAATATTGATGTTAATCTTAAACCCTTGATCTCGATATCCAACGCAGGAACCTTTGATCTCACAGAAAATATAAGGATGAAAATTTTACGCAAAAGATCAAATGTTTTGGACTAATTTAAAGCCATATACTTGAGCAGACATCAGACACAAAACATTTTTAGACAGGATTAGAAATAGACAGATAAATATTTGTTTGTAATGAAATGGCTGACACCTTATATTTTAGTCTAGGAAATGTTAAAATTAACTAAACCCATGAAAACTATATAGGTAGAGAAATAGCAATGATAGGTAGATACACAGCAGGGTAGATGGATAGATAGATAAACGGACATGTGCAAATTATACCCTCTGTGCAAAAATTGTAATTTGATCTGAGTCCGGGGCCACTTGAGGATCCAACATTTTTGCCAAAATTTGCACAGATCAGAGCCATAGAAGGGTGAATTAAAGATGGACGAAATTGATGTTGGCACGAAGTCTCGCTGAAGTCTATGACGCGGAGCTTTAAGAATAAAAATATGCACATTTCAGAGAAGGAAAATTGAGTTACTTTGCTTTTCTATTCTCAGACCCTGCATGCAGATATTAAAAAATTGCTTAAAATAACAAGAGAAACGATAAATTTAGACATTTCGCGGATTTTCTTGTTTTCTTTTGCGAATTTTCTTTAATGATCATGAAGGAATTTTTATAAATAGGAGCTTCTAAAGGTTTATTTGAATCATAATAAAAAAGTGTCCAATTGGTTGCCCTATTTTGGCGTTGGATCAAATTAATTTAGATAAAAACACGAGAAAATATATATTGGTCAGCTGTTTTGACACCAATTATAAAAAAGAGACTATACCTGTATGAGTCTCTTCCCTTCTCTGTCAGTTTATCCCAGGATTTAGGTTTAGAGAGAAGTTCACTAACAGTTCCCTGGGATAGTCCCAGCACATATTTTGCAAACAGTCGCTGTCCAATGTTGTGTAAAGTTAACAAATCACGAACCCTACACAAAAAAAACTAGCTAATCAATTAGTTAGAATTGATCATAATTATGAATTCAAAAAACATCTGTTCTTGCAAATAAGATAGCGATTTCTGAGTCATAGTGGTTTTACAATCTCTTCTGAAGAAATGATCTACTGTGGATATCAAAATTAGGTCTTATAGCAACTCACTCATCCAAAGTTGCGGCCTCTTCATTTTTATGATTATGATAAGTACCTTTTAGAATCTACCAGTGTGTCCAATATTTGTGCTCCTTTTTTCTCAATATTCACACGAAGCATTTCTTGTAGTTTAGCCTCCATTGGATCTGACTTGGGTATTCTGAAATAAAATAAATTTTTTAAGTTAATAAATTTTTAATACAAAATTAATGGTTACAATCATGGCCTTTGGTTTTATCGCCTTTTGAGATGAAAATGCAAAAAAATTTAAGAAAACTTAATCTCCCTCTGTTGGTGGAATCATAGTTTTGTAATGTTCGTGAAAAGACAGTAAACTAATCTGAACCTGGAGGCTGACATTAGTGATGGCACAGGTAACCCTAGGTTGGAAGAACTGTAGGGGGAGACAGGGCCCAGAGATGGAAGCTCAGGGTTAAACATCTCACACAAGTTGGAATCCTTAATTATTTATTGTATGGAGGCTGCTCGGAGAGTAAAGTTTTATTTGCTTTGTGCATTTTTACTTAAACTTAATTGTAAATAATCACAGAAACTTGGCAAGTTTAAGAAATGCGGGCATACAACTTCCTAAATGAAAGATTAGATAAGTTTCTTTACCTCAGACTTTACTGGGCTTGCACTCTCGGTACGGTGAGGGCTTGGGGAGCCGTTATCACTACATGGTTTGGAGATTCCATTGAGGGAAGGTGCGTTGGTTGGAGGAGAAACTGGAGGTTCAGGGGAGGAATCACGCTTTTCAGGCGAAGGAGAGGGAGTTATGTGGCATTTGTTGTCCTCCTGAGCAAAAAAGATTTAAATAGATTTGAAATTAGATTTCTGTAAAGGGTTTCAGAAGCCTGGCTAGGTAATAGGATCTATTGTTTCTATATTTCTTAGAATTGCAAATATACACTACATACACAGTCTACCTAACATTAAATAGCCTAACTGCCTTAATTATGTTTTAACTACCTGGTGGGGAGTTAGATGGAACTGAAAGGTGTTGGTGGTTCCATCTAGTGAATGATTCTAGAACTAAACACTATTAATACATTATGTACACTAGTCCTCCTAACTGTCTTTCCTTAACAGCTTATGTGTACAATTCTACTATTACTGTACCTCTCTAAAGTTGACGTAATTATTTGATTTGTAATTGTTGAGAGTTTTCTCACCTTTCTAAATGGTGGCTGATTCAATAAATGTAATTTGCACTGTTTTAAATATGCTTACTCGTTCTAGCACCAGCGAGAAGAGATTGCATACATTCTCACAAGTGCTATGCAGAGTAGCACTTGTCCTTTTCAGAGTTGAGAAGGTCCAGCACACTGGTGCTACGATACGTAAGTATATTTAATATGATATGAATCGAACACTATGTACTGCCTATACCTGTATGTTTGGAGGAAGGTTCCTCCATCTGTTGAGCAGATCTTCAGAACTGAAGTTGCTGTCTATGCCACGCATTTGGTTTGGGACAGGAGCTGGGAAGAGTCCTCCCCGGAATCCAAAACCTAAATACAAGTAAAACACATACAATAATTCTGCAAATTATATACCTTATTTGACCCACATGAAAAGAGTGCAAAGAATTCTAAACTATACCTTGACCTGCAAAGCCCTGGAACTGTTTCAATGCTTGGCTTTCATGCATTGCCTTGGCACGCTCCATTAGAAGCATCTCCAGCCCGTGCTGACCAGATAGGCTGGTAGGAGGGGTTGGAGGCATTCCAGACCCAAGGAAGAGGGATGCATTGTCACGTTTGAGGTTCCTAAACAAAAGTTACTTATTCTTAAAAAATTCAATCTGTGCAGTATTCAGGGAAGCCAGCCAGCCAGTCTTGTTTAATTGTACCATATACACTGGCTGACTTGTAAGCTGTACAGTACACAAACAGTCTATATAAGGCAAAACGGGACGGTACGCCAAATGAACAATCCCCTGCTAATGACATTTATGTGTAAATATCTTTGCTGGTACTGGTTGCTACAGTGTAATCATAATATATGTAAACCTGACATTTTGACTTTGCACATTTGATCAAAAAAAGTAAGGGCAAAGTGGGCAAACTATCAAGCTCATAGTTAAAGTGAGAAAATTTTAATTAGGATGAATTCGAGATTGAAGTGTTAGAAGTGATAGGCAAAGCCCATTTCAACATTTAAAGTACCAAACCGTGATTTAAGCAACTGGAATAAGTTTAACAGTATACATAGAGACTGTAAACAGCAAAACCAAATAGATCATTCCTTTGTAGTGAAATTGTAATGTAGCAAAGAATGAATAACCCCAAGTAGTGACAATGGTTTTGGTTGTTTAACCACATATATACCAGCGGTGCTGGTAGTTAACAACCTACCCTGATATTCAGCTTTAGGGTAAAAAAAAGATGATTTACAGATAAATGATGTTAGGATATTATGGTCTAATCTTACAGTACAAACATCAAATATGCAGTACGCTTTGGCAGTAAGTAAGTGGAGTATGGGGCCTGCACAATAAGTAAAGGATTAGCGTAAATCATCATTCTACATGAATGAGGAGGAGCAATAGTAAGGGAGCTTACGGTTCAGCCCAACGAAATACTTTACGGTACTAACTTTGTATAACCCAGGGCAACGCCAGTTGCGAAACACTACATATATACTATAACTTCGTTGGTATATACTTACATTAGACTGTTTTTGAGATTTATTTCTGTTTGTTGTTTTAGCTGATCCTGCAACCGCTGAATCACCCTGATTAACACAATAGTTATTCAACCAGACCAATCCAATTCATTTGTCATTCTACTCTTTATTTGTAGTTAAAAAAGCATTAAAGTGTATTTTTGTTTGAGAGCAGAAACAAACAAAAAATAAGGTGGATATTTTATTTTTTAGCCAAAGAGAATAGAATATTTTAGAGTGGAATTCAAACAATCCCTCAGTATGAAATTTGTCAGTCCCTTTCAGCCTGAAAGGGAGTTCAAAGTGTACAATTCATGTAAATGTTCACAAATGATATCCAGTACATCACACTAATACAGTATGATCCCTAGACATCCATTACAATTTCTTTGTTTTAAGTTGTTAAATAAATTTAAACGTGTGTATTTGCTATAGGTGAATTAAACATTAAAATGTAAAAATCGTCCTTTGTAAAGTGTATTTTATAAGAAAACTTTTCTATAAAATGATGTTCCAGGGCACAAAGGGTTATAAAGCACAAATGTGTGAAGTACACCAGCAGTATTCAGTACAACAAAATGGCCGTTTTACACTTTTTTCGAGTAAATTCCACTCTAATATATATATTCTATTCTCTTTGTTTTTAGCTTTGGTTTAGTTTCAATTTCATTTACTGGTTTAAGCCCAAAAATTATGTGGAATTAAAAGCAGGATACAGAAGTCTTAAACTAGTTTAAAGAAATGAGTTTTTGTCACAAACTCTAATTTTCTAATCCCTTAATCTGTCTAACCAAATTTCGGGGACCTTAGATAATTCAAACTATGAATTCTGTTAGATCAAATAATCCAAGTTTTAATTTTCTAAGGTGTACACCTTCAGGTTGCAAAGCTATCGGGATAAGAAAATTTGAGTTTGTAGCAAAAACTCAATTCTTTTCTACTGGTTCAAGCTAAAACAAGATGTGGAATTGTAACAGTAACAGAAAAGTTAAAAACCATCAAATTGCTGAACTAGTTAAACTCTTTCTCTCTCATTCATAAATATCAATTTTTGATCAAAATGAATTAAGTCTTTGTCACAAACACTGATATTCTATTCCCTGAATCTTTCCAACCAAATATCTTGGACCTGAGATAAATCAAACTATGATTTCTGTTGGATTAAATAGTCCAAGTTTGAAATATCAAAGGTTTACATTATCAGGTTGCAAAGATATTGGGAAAAGAAAATTTGAGTTAGTGGCAGTTTGTTTTTACCTTGAAGCTTCATCATTTTCCATCTGCAGTTTGAGAATTCTAGATTCAGATTCTTTTTTGAGAGTATCCAGGGAGTCCTGGAGTTCAGCCACCCTGTCACTTAGATCCTGAAAAAATGAGCATCTGCAAAAAAATTGCAAAACATATTTAATCTGCCTTCTTTATTCATCCAAAAGGCTAAAACTGTTAAAACCCAAAAACAGGTAGGGGGTCAAAAAAGTGGTTTAGTTTTGATCGATAAAATAGGTATTCAGGCAGAATGTTGAATACTCAGGCAGTTGGTTTAAAGCAGCATTGAAAACAAAATAATCAATCTTAGACCAATACTACATGAGTAACATTGTAATAAATATTGGGTAACAAGATATTCTGTAAACCTACAGTACATTGTACATTATTAAATATCTGTGTTTGTAAACTTCTACGTAAAAAACCCTTATTCATTTAGAAACTCCGGGTACTGCGAGAGAGTAATCGTTCTCTGTTTAATAAACAGGTTGAGGATCCTCCCCTTTGATTTGGGATCGATAGTTATGAGCTTCCGATTGATATCGATAGCTAACGAGATCTTGCACACAGGTAGTGGCCTTGATAGATCACAAGATTGTATCCGTGTGGTACCCTGTTTTGATAAACAGGTTGAGGATTGTCCCCTTTGATTTGGGATCGATAGTTGCTAGCTTCGGATTGATATTAATAGTTAACAAGATTGTGTCTGGGCTTAAACATTGAAAGCTAAGTGAAACCGAACTGTACCTGGATAGATACGTGTTAGAGAAACCGTTCTGGAGTAGGGTATTTACTACAGGTTAAAAGTAACGAAAGTGTGATAAAATACCTTCTCTTTCTTGTTTTCAATATTGTTGTTAAGATGTTCAGTTTCTTTAACTATCATCTTCTCTTCATCAATTCTTCTTCCCTCGTCATCCTTCTCCTCATTTCTTCTTTCCTCGGTTTCCATTTCGTCTCTTTCCTCCTTCTCCTCCCTCTCCTCCCTTTCTTCCCTGTCTTCTATTTCTCCCATATCTTTTCTCTCCTTCATTCCAAGATACTCAGGATTCTAAACAGAATATTTTTTACAATAATGCTTCTAACAATTATATTTCTAGCCATTATACTTCTAACAATTATATTTCTAGCAATTATACTTCTAACAATTATGTGTTTAGCAATTATAGTTATAAAAATTATACTTCTAGCAATTATTATTTTAGCAATAATACTTCTAGCAGTATGAAATAAATGAATGAAATGATGAATATTATAGTATTAAATGAAAGGATGAATATATGCATATTACAGTATACAATGATTGAATAAATAAATGAATATTACAGTATTGAATAAATGAATTAATAGATGCATATTACTGTATTGAATGAAAGGATGAATAGATGACTATTACTGTATTGAATGAAAGGATGAATAGATAACTATTACAGTATGTAATGAATGAATGAATAGATAAATATTACAGTATGTAATGAATGAATGAATAGATTAATATTGTGTAATATATGAAGTGAAAGGTTGGGCCTGTCATCACCCGGCCATGTTTGCATGTCATCAAAGGTCGTAAAGTTGCATATTCTTGGCTTCCTATTGGTTGATAGATTTCACAACCAGCCAATAAGATGCAAACAAATCAAAACCCATTGTAAACCCTAAACCCTTCAGGGGTAAAAAGACCCAAAATTTGAAAATAAAAATATGCATTTTTTTTTAACAAAATGAATATTTTCAAATATTTCTGTTACAAATTGTTTTTATAAATATTACTTGTGAAATTTAACATCCCTGAAATCTAATCTTCTTATTTCTGAAGTAGAGAAAGTTGGGGTGGGGGGGGGGGGGGGGAAGAGGGGAAGGAACTCCTTGGAGGTTATTTTATAACATGTATTTAACATGACACATTCAATACTTTGATGAGGAAAGCATGCATTAACTTAAAACACAATATTTCTATTTTTAGAAATTGCTAATTAAAATCCTAAATGTAAAGAACACATCTATTCAGCCTGCTTGTAAAATGTTTCATAAATGTTTAAGACAGGGTCGACTTTGAACTGTCGTAACGCCTTGGGCTTTGATTTTACCGTTTCAACTCCCTTTTAGCTTTGGGTTTTAAGAAGTTATTGGCAAAATTCTCATCGATTTTTCCTTAAGAGCTTGCAACCTTTATGTCAAAGTGAGAAACAGGTTCAACAATTTCAAATCAAGTTTATTTTAGTTTAAAATGAACCCGTGAAAAGCATTAAAGACCAGTTTAACATAAATTTAGTTGCCCTGACAGTTAAAAAAAGATTAAAAATAATGCTAAATAAATGTTCCAGGATAAAATAGTTAGAAAATTACAAAAATCCATTGAATTCAATATTCTCAGTACATCACACTAATAC